GGTAGTGACACTGCATACAGCAATCCCGACCAAAGAGCGGATCGCAGTATGCACCGGGCACTGTAATCAACTAGGCCCAAAATCTCAGACAACAGCCCCAGCCGACAATTCGACCCAACTAACAAATCATACCAAAACCAACTCCGACCGAAATTCAACGTGGCCCAACTCATTCATATGGTTTCTCATGTCTATATAAATTTGTGATAAGATAGATGCACCAAATCTGTGAATACTGTATGTGGGTTTATAAAGCCTTAAAGCGTTGTCGAATACGCCCCCCAGTCGCCCTTCCCCCATTCGAAAACTTCGAAGAAAAAAAATTAGGCTAGGCTTATGGGTTAATGCTTTCTCAACTTCCCTTTATTGACGTTCATCAAAACACCATGTTATGTATTTATTCGTCCTTCATTTCACAGCAACTAATAATAATAATAATAATAATAATAATAATAATAATAATAATAATAATAATAATAATAATAATCAATATTTATAATGATGGTTAAGTTGTATCTTTTGAATGAAGTTTTATACATACAGTTATAAAAAGGAAATAACAACTACCCATAATATGGATTACTTGGACTAATTTGGTACTCTTTAACCTGTCTCTTATACACATCTAGATGTGGTGCATGCAGAATTGTTGATGTAAGCCTATTTAAAATAAAACTATCTATTGTTAAAACAATTTGGTAATTTTAATTAAGGCAAGAAATCGTAATCGACAATAAAAGTTTCGTTTTGTTTATTATGGTGTTCACTTCTTAAATACTGCGTTCAAGAGATATACTTTAACATATCTGTCACGGTTAACGTGTATTCGGGAATCTAAGAAGCAATATTTTTCAGTGGGCGTGGCCACCGAAAATAAATTCCACGCCCCCTCATATTTTGGTCGCGCTCCCTCCCACCAGCCCCCACCCCCATTTTAATACTGCTAGATACGCCACTGGGGTCACGTAATAAAACTCCCTGGTAGGGGTTCACTAGAAGAGTTTTTTATGGCTTAGGATGGCCACTTTGTGCTTTTAGGCCAAAATATTTTAAGTCCGATTAGCAATTAAAATAACGTTCTTTGCGGGTAAGCAATTACTGTTTTTGGTCCGACGACCTCGTCGTGGCGTCAGATGACGAGGAGGGTAATCCAGGCTTTCCGACGGGGGATTCCCCTGCCCACCGATGGCGCCACCACTATTATCAGGCCTGCAAATTTGTCCAACTTGGAATCTCTGGAACCGGTCCCTTCAAACTACCCCAATCCATGTTCCTTCCTATTCCAAGCTTAACCAGTCCTTTTAATATCAAAGTTTTTAATGCGGCGTACTTTGAACAAAATGCAAAAAACATTATTAAATTCTACTCCTCGAGATTCTTTATTGTCACTTCAAATGATTAGATGAGGTATGTGTATCGTATTGATACGGTGGACTCATAAGGCGCATATTTTAATGACCTCTATGCGCATTAATTTCAGCAACACATCATCATTCCTGATGATGACATAATTAATGTCGAAATATTGAATCCCAAAACGATGGCGTGCATTTCAATACTTGGAATATGTATTATGCTTTCTTATCTGAGATTAATCAGCGGACTTTTCGGTTTCTGAAAATAATATCGTATTTATTCGAATAACGCCCCGTGCAGAGCCTCATTTGGATAAACGCCTCCCTCGTATAAGTGCCCCGAGCATTTATTTCTTCCTCGAACAAACGCCACCTCCCCCCTCCCACAATGTCTGTAAACAAATCTAATGGAAGCCACATCATTTTAAACACATTCTATAACTGTTCTACTTCTGTAGAATTACATTTTTTCTAACCTGGTTGGGATCAAAAAGTCTTTTTGCTCACGCAATAACAGATTTTGACGGTAATTACGTGTTGTAGTTCCACATTTACAGTGAAATTATGGGGCATTTAATTTCAGGGTATGCGTATCAATTTTACCTATTAATCGATTTCAGCATTACCGTAGGACAATGTCAATGTAATCATTCCGATGGGGACAATTTTGTTTTTCTTAAACTACTTTAGGCCTACATTTGTTATAATATAAAGTGCCGCAAGCAGGTGATATTATAAAGGTGCTGTAGTATAGCTACCCTGAAGTAATAATGATCTACTGAGGATCTAATAATAATAATAATAATAATAATAAAAATAATAATAATAATAATAATAATCTATCTAAAGTATTAATTTGTTCCAACCGCGTCATAGACTGCGTACATTACGATTCATTTATATCAATTGCAATTCAAAAAACATTATACAGCCTACGCATGTATCAGCGATGCTTTTAAGTGAAGACTGCAGGTGCTATCTATAGAATCTCCTAGTTGGACTAATCCACTCTTCAATTTCCACTGTGAGGCTAAGACCACCTCCCTGCAAATACAAAACAATGTTTGGACGGGATTATTGGATCATGTTTAGCCTGGAGCGAGACAAAAATCTGAAAATAATAATAAACATGGATTTTTTAAGTTGAAGACGGGTCCCTTGCGATAATCCGGTGGAAAATGGTTTATTAATACATTAATTTTGGAATCTTATACTAATACTCAGATGTTTTTTTTTTAACTTATAAAAACAAAAGCAATACGTAGGCGTATGCCTACATGTTTTATGTCTATATTTTTTAAATTATTAGTTGAAGTTCAATAGATGGTCAATGCAATATGTATGT